TGGGAGACAATTTCCATGTTAGCATGCTTGCTGAAACACTCTCTGCCACTGAACAGCGAGAACAGATAATAACCATTAGTAAATCAAACTCCTTGGCAATATCCAGCTGTGCCTCGCACATTTACATACAGATAGAATGGGTATATGTTTTTAATATGTATGCGATAACGCACTTTCCCCACAGCTGAAGTGTGTCTTACAAAAGGAGGAGGCGAATGGGAACGCATTGCCATGAGATAATAAAGTGACCTAGATAAAGTATTAGCCAGCGATTGATCTCAAACAGGGGAAGGCTGCCTCTCTCTGACCCGGTTACTTACTATGCATAGATTCCATTAAATAGAGCTTAGGAACTGAAAGCTTCAGGAAAACGGTGCCACTGAGGCCGAGATCGACAGGCGTCTGGGTTGGAGTGCACAAATGTATAGCCTCCTGTCCCATGTGAATTCCTGTGGCATTCAGCCACACCTGGAGAACACACCTCCATCAGATAAAAGTGACTCTCCCACCAAGCCAAAGCCTGATTTAGATTTTAAATGGAGGTGCAGTAGTGTAAACAAATCTTTGCATATTTTTCTGAGAACTTGTGGATTCTATCCTGATATCAAGGCAGAAAAAGTGCTTTAAAGAAACTAAAAATGATTCCTGTCTATAAGTATGCAGGACTTTTTTTACTTGTTCAAACAGCTCAAGAATTATGCAAGCTTTCAAGTTCCACAGAAGTCTTCATCAGGCAAAATATCTGAAAAGTGTGGTGAAGCAGACAGTGACTGACTTGGAACAGGGAGACTTGGGCATGAAGCTCGCTGGGTGACCTTGGGCCAGTCAGACATTCTCAACCTAAATGACTTTGTAGGGCTGTTGTGAGGGCAGAATGGGATAAATGTCGCTATCCCAAGCTCCTTGGAGAAAGGACATGATACTAATAGGGTAAAATAATAAATACATAGAATAGGTTCTTGCATATCCAAGTCTGGGATAGTTCTGCAGTCAAGTGTCAGACAGTTGCTAATTATATTTTATCAGGCACTTTGCTCAAGGTGAATTATCTCACTGATTTTCAGGGTCTTTTGCTTTGTGTTTACATGGAGCTTATATGAACACTCTTTGAGACCCATAGGCTACCTGCACCTGGTTAAGCTGGCCCGTCAAAGCAGTTTCCTGGGGTGTGGCCGCTGTCACATGATGACAGCTTCTAGGAGCCATGGGTGAGAGCTGAGTGCAGGGTGCGGACCAAGGTGGACCAACTACCCAAGAAGGATCTGGTGCCTTCCAGATGTTTCTGGAATGCAACTCCCATCAGGCCAGCCAGCAACTGGAGTTGGACTCCAAAGCATCTGAAAGGAGACAGGTTGGTGAAAGCTGCTGTAGGTCATTTGTAAGTCATTCATGAGCAGTGAGAGGAGGGATAAAAATAGATGCTTCCAGTTCTCTGGATATTAGCCACTGGAGATATTGGGATCATGCAGGCAATTTAGTATAATTAAAGGGTGGCAGCAAAATGAAGATAGCTGAGCTCCAGTCTTTTCCCACTCACTGTTAATGATCACTAAATTATTATATGCATTTCATAAAGCCAAGTTTTTAAGGGTTCATTATAACCTCCCATCCTGATGCAGCTCCCATCAAAGTTAGTAGCATCATTTCCACTAGGAGTTGGCCTTGGCCATATTCCACCAAAAGGTTTTGCTGCACAAGCCCCATTTAAAATGGATTGAAATACAATAGGACAGCAGCAGAAATAAGATTTGGTAGTACACAGTGCTTTTGGTCTTTGTTTCTTCTCTCTCGTTTTCTTTGTGTGTGTGTTTGAGTCCAAAGAATCAGAGGAAGCTTTTTAAGAGTGAGTAGGGACTTCCATCGCATGCGAAGATAGGCTCTGGCAGATTGAGCAGACAACACTAATTGTGGGTCCAATGGTCAAGAAGGCAGTTTCTGCTGTTACTGTAGAGGGAAGTGAGGGGCGGATGGGACTCATCAACCCATCTAAGGTAGCCCACCTAGGTAGCCCAGCTAGGAGAAGGAAAACTCTGACTCCGCTGCCTTGTAGGATATCTTCAGGAGAAGAAAAGGCTAAGGAGTAAACCCTACATAAATCCAGAGTGGAGTCCCTAGGACGGTTGGGTGGTGCCTCATTCTGGCAACTCCTGCAGCCAAGCTGGTGCCTAAACATATTGCTCTGCTTTCCTTTGGACCACATCAGTGAGGCTGAGAGGGGATCTTGTTGTCTGAGCAGCCCAGGACCTCCATACACACTGTCCCAAGCTTGTGCCCCAGGGAGGTAACTTTGACGCTCCTAATACAGAGGGTTTGACTTCATCCCTGGAGGCACAATCCACTGTCTCTCAAAACAGACAGATGCCAACATACATTACAAAGCCAGAGAGAGAGAGAGAGAGAGAGAGAGAGAGAGAGAGAGACTCTTTTATTCATGTAGCTTTCAAAAGTCTTGCCCATCCCTTGTTCCACTGTCCAGATCACTTACTACCACTTCTCTCTTTTTGGTAACCCCAATGCCTGCAGAGTTACTTGCCGGAACTGCCACTGAGAAGGGTCTGTCATGGGTCACCACGAACAAGGCAGTCCTGATTAGGTCCAAGTGACCTGATCTCTGGAGCATAAGCAAGGAAGAATCTGATGACAAAACAAAATCCAGGACACAATGCACCAGGAAGGTCTGTGCAAGAGACGTTGGGGTTTCTGCACAAGCAACATCCCCCTTCTCTTTTGGGTCTATGACTGTGGCATCAAGCAAGGCATCAACCAGACTTCTCAACACAGTCAGAGGTCCCTTTCAATACTGAGTGGCCAGGCTTCAGAAGCCATTCGCAGTGAAGGGAAAGCAATGTGGAAGAAAGTGTTAATTTTTTATATATATATTAAAAAAGAGTCTTTTTTAAAAAGCCATTGTGCATTTTTTTAATTATTAAAGGGGGGATGGGAGAAGATACTGTCTTATGAGCAGGACCCGGCACTTCAGGGCAGGTAGTTGGAAAGATATATAACTCTATGTCGTTGTTCCTATAGGCACTCACCCCTTGGCCTCCGTCTTTATGACTTTACACCCTGGAGTGGTGTTACAGCTTCCGAACACGCACATATATACTGAGGGCTGGAAGTGCGATCTGCAGATGTTTTATTTATAAGTGGCAGGCCTATTGCATCACGGAAAACATGCATTTACAAAGAGATACAGGTTTTATGAAACCCCATTCTGTTGGTTTAATAGTCAAGCTACCCAGCCATAGAATAATAACAACGCATCAGGTAAATGCATCTCCATCTCTAGAACCTGTTCCAAGTTCTCTCAGATGTGACTAAGTGCAGGAACCTTCCAACCATCAAAAGTTAATAAAAAAAGAGAGCGGCAAATTAAGGCAGCCTCAACCATCACTACCCAGAGACAGAATGGACGGTGTGGGGGGGGGAAATACAAAGTTCCTCCTCACGAAGGTATTTCTGCAATTGCTTAACAGCTCTCTTCAGCAGTAGCAGAAATTATTCACATCCAGATTTATAAACATGGTCACATATCTGACAAACTTGATGCCCATGCAGAGGAAGAGTTGCAGAGGGAGGTGGCACCTCTAGGGCCTCAACTAGCACAGCGGTATTTTAGAATTTTTCCTTTTTCACACACACTTTGCTCCTGCCGTATTGAAATCCTTTGGAGCCTTGTTTCAGGAATGTCCTTGCCTCTGCCACAGGCGAAGCGACAACCCTCCGTTGTTTCAGACGTTTTGGTGGAGACTCTTCTTTTTGCCCAGATCCTGTTTTATTTGTTAACGAATTTCTGTTTTATTCACTTTTATCTGCTTTGATGTGTTTTTATTTGCTGTTTTACTGGTCCTAGGTTGTAATTTGGCTTTTGTTTTAATTTTTTTAATGGTGGATTGTTTATTTTTTAGACTGCACACTGCTCAGAGATTTCTAAAACACTAAGCCGTATATACATTTTTCAATCAATAAAAGTGGTAGAGTACACAGCTGTTTGAGGAATACAGGCCAGACCCCTGCCCCCCCCCCACCCCAGTGTTCAATTTTGAGGCATTCAGTACAATAGTCTAACATACTTCTACAAAAATTCAATAAAGTTTACTTTAAAAATAAATAAATCTGTGACTCTTGGCCATGGTTATTTCATTCTGTTGGGAAAACATAACTCATCTTAGCTTCCTCCCAGTTCTCTACTGGGAAAGTAAACGAACCTATTTGACCTATCAAGAACAAAGGTGATCTATGGGTAAAAGTGTATTGAAGGGATTTTGTTTGAATAAAAAAAAAAATGTTTCATTATTATACAAAGTTCAGCATGGGCAGAAACAAAGGGCAACTTAGAAAGGAAAAGACCATTAATGAGATTTGTTGTTTATGATGTTTCTGCTCTTGCCATTGTATTTAGTGAATTGTTCTGCACTGATCATGTCAGAGAGCATGACTGCCAACCTAAAAGCAAATAAAGGACTTTAAAAAAGGAAGAAGAAAAAAAAGGACAAAGGGCAACCTGCAGAAATGAAGACATTTCTCTTGGCAATTTGGTGAGGAAGAACGTCACATCTAATCATGAAAAAGTTCCATAGAAACCCCAAGATCAGCTTCACAACAGGATTATAGAACCCTGCCAATGTATACTATAAGGGTGGATACAAATTTATAGAAACTACTGTAGAATTCAGTTAAAAAAAGTTTTTAAAAGAAGAAATAATTCAGTAAATTAAAGAAGAAATCTGAGTAATTCCTAATACAGACAGCATCTTGCTTTGATCAAGAGACCTTTCAAACAAAATGTGTCCCATAACCACCGTTATGATTCTGAAACCAAGATAGAAGCTTATGTGCATTACGCCAACGTCTGCTGGCTGTCAGAGCTGGAAGCAAAATTTAGATTTAATGTTAGTTAACTTATGGAGGAAAAACACCCCCAACAAACTTCTGCATGTCATAAATCAGCAAAACTTTTCTTGTTTGTGTTGTAATGAGAAGCCTGAAGATTTACTTACCATTAACTCTTCAGGGGCTGGGCGTTCCTTTGGCTGCTTTCTCATGCTGTGCAGCAACAACAAAAAACAGAACCCAGATTCGGTGTGAAAAAGCACTAGTCATTTACTTCATTATCTTAGAATGCTGAAGATTTATTTTTTTTAAAGTCTCTTATTACAGATGATCAACAGTTAATGAAGAAAACCAACCCCAACCCCACCCTACAGAAGGCTTTATGAATGCACTTGAAATGTCACTGTTTTTCTTTAACTTGACTGCTTCTGCCACCATGAATTAAGGTGGGCACCACCAGGCACTCCACAACAGAGCCCACACTGCAGCCAGTGCTATTTGCAAGGCTAATTTCAGCAGAGGGAGGGGGCACAACACTTTGGCAACCCCTGGACCAGCCACCCTTTCTCCCAGTTCGCTTGTTGCCGGGGCACTTCACACACATTACGTTTTTAGGTGTACACTTAGATCCTCTTAGGCATACACATGTGAAATGTGTAGTGCGAGACAAATAGGTGTTATGCAAGTTTACTCACTAGGGGCCTGTGATTGGCCAACTCAGGTTTGCTGCTGTGCAATGTGCTACATGCACCTCTACTTCATACAGACATACAGAATTTTATTTGTATGTCGCCTTTCCACGGTTCAAACCATGCTCAAGGCAGTTTATAACATGGGGAAAAAATACATAAATACAATGTAACAAAAGCAGTCATAAACAATAAAGAAAGAGTTAAAAAATATACGACCAAACCGAACAATTTCCATATAAACCACAAGATATAAAATAAAGATATAAAAAACCCCAGCAACAATCCCCGACTCTCAACAAAACCCCCAAACACCGCAGCTCAAGAGTTTGTTCAGCAGTCTCAGATTTTGTCTCTGTTATCTCCCTATCCCGATCAAGGAAGTGATGGCAACCAACTTATGTCTCCTCCCATGCTAGGGTACTTACCACAATAAGCATTTACATACAGGTGGGATATATATAATAAAATTGTTGTTGTTGTTATTAAGCTTTTAAAAACAATTTGCACATATTAATACTTCAGAAACTCTTACAACAGCCCTGTGGGGCCAATATTATTATCCCTGTTGGAGGAGGGAGATGGCTAGAATAGCACCCTAAGGTGAGCTGGTGAAGCTGTGGTTGCAGTAAGATTTGAACTGGGAGGTTGGAGCCCATCTGGCTTACAGCTCACACTCTTAACCCCTAGGCTACACCAGTTTGTGCAAGTCAACCACTCTTCTAAGAGGTTAAAAAAAGAAGCTATAGTTCAGTGGTATAGCAAATTTTTCCCGTGCAGAAGATCTTAGGTTTAATCCCTGGTAGGATCTCCACAGCTGGGACAGATCCCTGCCAGAAACCTTGGACAGCTGCTGCAAGGTTGAAAATACTGAGCTAGACTGGAGCAATTGTTCTGACTCAACAGAAAGCAGCTTGCTATGTGCCTAAAACATGTAGCATAGCATAGTGTGTGACGTGGGCAATCCCACTTGCCACAACTTGAGAGCTTGCAGAGAACAGTGACCCTTGGAAGATCTATAGTTGCCCTGTGCAGTTTTAATGGCACCAGGCACTGCTGCTGTGTAATCTTTGTCTGTTTCATAAATACCCATGCAGCACAAGCTCCAAAGAACTTAAAGGAGGACAAGTCAGCAGCAGGAGCACTTGGTGGATCGCTCCCCTTGTAACTAATAGCCATGCACAGCCCAACGGAGGGTTGCATTCTTGCAAGCCATTCAAAGCCGCCTTGGCAACCCTCTTAATCTGACATTCCAAAGTAGCTGGATCTCGTGGGAGAACAAGGCTATTATCTGCCATCATTTATGCTTCAGCCTGACATCTGTGGACATTTCTATAGAGGTTAGCCCTCCTCCTGCCTCAATTAAAAATATATAAAAACGATATGTTTTCAGATTAATCTCTGGGAAGAGACAGAAAGGTACAGCCCCCTGCACCTCAGTCAGCAAGAGCAGGATAGATCACCCACAATTATGGCTGCAGCGTAAAAACCTAATCTACCCGAAACTGGATCAGTCTTATAATAAACATAAGCCTTGTATTTATTATTTCAATTAACTGTAAAGTCACACTGTTAATTCTTCTGTCAGAACATCATCCTTTGGGACACTCTAGAGAAGGTTCTCTCGCATTAGTGTAAATTCGCATAATCTGAATGTATCCAAATGCCTCTTTGCGTAAGGAGCTGATTCCTGGACACTTCTTTGGTAGTAAATTTGTGGCTGGCAATCAAACTTTTATTTCCAAAGAAAAGGGGATTTAGAACCAAGGAACCTATGGGTGTTTTCTGGGAATCAGTTTTGATGGTGAGTATCCATATATTTTTACACATGGATTCCTATCATAGTAGCTAATGAATGGCCTAATTCTGCGCAGTGTTGAGCATCCTCCTCCATCTCCAGCTTCTGCAACATGTCTGAATCCAAGAGTTCTCATTAAAGAGATCACCTACTCAGTTTGCCTAGAAGCTTAGGGGTTGCGTGCTTGCTTTGCACTGTTGAATTATGTCCATTGACAGTTTTTGTCCAGAAAGTTCATCTTGACAGGATAAAAAAGGCAATTGTTCTCCATTAAACCCAAATCATTTAGACCAAGCTCAATCTCTCTCTCTCATCCTTTATCGCCTGCTTATTAAGCTTTCTCTATAAATGAGACATTAAAACATGCCTTCATTGTAATAGGTTGTACTTAGATCTTTAACCTTTTGGTGCTCAGGAGATTCCTTTTTAAAACTAGATTCCTTTTTTTATATTAAAAAAAAAACCCTAGTTAATTTTAGTGGCCTTCCACTGAATGAGGCAGTTTGTCTGGAAGAAGCAAAACATGCCCTACGGTGTGGTTTAAAATACGGCCCTTACTGAGAAGAGTACCCTCCCAAAGAAGAACTCCATAAAACCACTTCTAAATGAAAAGCCCATGAATTAATCAAGTGCATTGTTTACCCCATTTAAAAAGGTTGCCTGCTTTCCTAAGGAATATGAGAATGCCTGAATAATGGAGTTATAAATATGATTATCTGTCATCCTTATTTTTCCGAGTGATTTAAAACACAAACACACACGCGCACACACCAATTCCTTGAGAATACACCCAAGATCCCCAACCGTTTATTAAAACAGGGGCGGGGGGTAAAAACTCTCCCTCTGAAGTGCTTTTATGACCCTTTGTGTAAATAACGTTTACATAATTTAAACAGTTTGCTCAGCTTTGCTGGCCCAGCTGCCCAAGGCCTGCCAAGTCCCTGGCGTCTCTGGAAGGATGCAGGGAAAGCCATAAGGTCCTGTGGTACTGTGGAGTTAATGGCATGTATCATTTACATTGAGGGCACGGCACATTTGCAAACGAAGCTTACCATTGAGTGATGAAGTGTACAAACGGCTCTGAGAACTCCCCAACCGGAAGGACAGGCGATTCCTGCAATTGAGTTTGGATTGGGCAGGTGGGGGCAATGGGGGGAGGCGGGAGAGAAAGGAGGGAGACAACAACAAAAACAACAACATCAGAAAGCGAAAGTGCAATTTGTTAATTGTATAGTTGATTTCAGATGGAAAGCAAGCAGGGGATGATGTTGATTTCAAATACAGTACCAGACTGTGTACGTGTGGGGAGAGAGAGGGTGAAGCCGTGAGAATGTGTCAGAAATCCTGCATTTAGAAGTAATGAGTGTTATACAATGGGTAAGAATATGTAGAAATAAGACCAAGGGGAGGTAAAAAGGGACAATGATAGCCACGGGGCAGAAAAGAAGGTAGGGAAAGTGTAAATGAGAAATTAATGATTATTTAAGTAACACCCAAATGGTCTTGTAATTAACAAAGAGCTGGGAAATTATTCTTGTGTTGACCTTTGCTTCCTGCATCATAGTTGCTATTTATTTACACTTAGCAATCTCAAATCTTGTTAGAGTTAAGCAGGAGAGGCCAGGAGAACTAAATAAAAAAAATTAAAAAATAGTAAATTGCAAGTTGAGCCAACGAACAACAAATCTATCAAAACACAAGGCTACCAAATGCATTTTAAAAAAACTCAAGAAACATCCGTATTATTTTTCAAAGAGGAATATTTCATCAGCAAAATAGGGATTTACAAATTGAGGAGAGTTTCTGCCATCTCTCTCTCCCCCCCCCCCGCCCCCCAAGAATGACAGAGAGACTTGCCAGTGTTTATAGTGTAACAGCTCAGGATGTAATGAAATTGCACTGCGGAGTACTTTAACAGTCATCTCATTAGACCTACAGTTGGAACAAGAGAACCACATAAAACAGGAGTCAGCTGCAAATGACTCCGTTCTCATCTATTCTCATTTGCTATTAAAAATACCTTTCGGCAGCTTTTGCCACCGTTTCCCCCGCCCCCCACAACCTCCCCCCACCCCGTCCCTGAGTGCTTTGCAAAGTATGATGCATGCACCTATTTAAATTAACAAAGGAATGACTTATTTTAATCTTGCCGTGCTTTGGAGTGCTTTGGCCATTTGCAAGAGTCATATATCATCACATACAACCTTCCAGTGCTGCAGGCAAGAAACTCAGAGCGTGCAGCATTTGGTGGGAGCCAAACAATTTCTCTCGCACACAACTGTGTCAAATGCATGTGTGGGGTTCATTATGGAGGGTTGCGAGGGAAATAGCTTTGATGTGGTGCGGGAAGGAGGGGTGGGGGGAATTAAAAAAAAAAGAAGAAGAAACAGAAGAAGAGGAGAGGAGATGATGATGATGATAAAAGCCAGCTTCACAATACATGCGCGCATATCATTATCAATGGCGGCAGGGAGAAGCGACCACCGAGCTGCTGACGTGATTAGTAAATATACATATAATTGCGGCGGCCAATTATCAGAAAAATGAGAGTGGTAATTACAAGACAGAAAATTAACTAGAACTCTTATTAAGGCTTTGTTTCCTATTCAAACAATCGGAAATTGCAGCAAAATACAATTAAATCAAAAGTAAGTGAAGAGTAAAAGGCGACAGTGTTCTGAGGGGCTGCCTTTGACACACACTTTTGAGGATTCTGCCATGTGGGGAGGGCAACTCTGAACCTGGCAGCTGAATGAGTCACAGAAGGTACAGCTGCCACTTGTATCTCGTGGCTCTTGCTAACACCACCACCAGAAAGAGGCTTCGCACATGAAGCACGTGCACTTATTCAGCAAGGATGACGAGCCGTCATGGCGCAGGTCAAGCGTTCAAAGCCCTGCACGTACTTTCTTTCAGGAATCTTGCTAACAGCCCTGTCAGGTAGAACGATGTCACCGTTCTCACATTGCAGGTGTGTGTGTGGGGTGTGTGTGTGTCAGGACTTGGCTCCAGAGTGGGTATTGGGCTAGAGGCCGAGCCCGGGGGGGGCGAGTAGGAGTGGTTTTGGCTGAGGATCTGCCTGCACACCACCGCCCGCTTCTGGCCGAAGGAGGGAACTGCAAGTCTTTTTGTACCCACAGCGCAGAGGTGTAAAAGGTGAACGCACCAGGTCAGGCTAACTTTCTGGTCTGGGCTAAGCAACAAGGGGGAGTCCTGCGTTTGCTGACTGCAGACCACTTTGCCAAACCCATGAACCCTGAGAAGGAGAGAGGGCACTGGCTTGGTTTAACTCAGTGAGAGCTTGAGGCCGAAGCAAGATTTGAACTGCAGACTTTGGGAGAAGTGTGAGTTACAAAAGTGGTGGTTAATAAGAAGGGAGGAGTCCACCACACAAATTAGCCTTACTTCCAAGAATTTGTCTATCAATGGCTACTAAGCTTGATGGCTATGTTCTACCTCCACTGTCAGAGGCAGTATATTTCTGGAAACCGAAGAAGGGGAGAGTGCTGTTTCGCTTGCTACCTACTGGGGCATCTGGTTGGCCACTGTGAGAAGCGGATGCTGGATTAAATGGGCCTCCTTTGGGTTGCTCTCCTTACGTTCTTATGTTAAGGTCCTCCAAAAGCCCCACATCAGCTCTCCATGATATACCAGTTTGCTTCCTTTCTTATTTTACCCAGCCTCAACTTTGAGAGGCTGATCCTGGGGGCAGCCCAAGTTACGGCATTAAAAAAGAGAGAGAAAGGGAGTAGAAGAAAAGAGAGAGAGAAGGAAAACCAACCCAAGCGCTTTGTATATCTCCAGTTTTGAGTACAGAGAAGGGCAATGTGTGTGTGTGGTGGGGGTGAGGGATGTTTTGAGTGATGCCTTTGCCTTGTGAATAATGAACAGTTCAGGAAGGTCAACCCATTACAACAGAAGCTGTTTAATTATTAATTATGCCCAATCTATGAGCAAAAGGACAAGTTCAGAATGTTTAATATGTAGTAAACCCCAAACAGGCCCTCACTTGGCATTTTGCTATTAGCACTCGTCAGCAAGGAGCTCAAGCATAACAAGGAAAGCACAGCAGCAGAAAATCTGAGCAAGGTGTTGGGGTGGGGTGGGGAGGGAGGGAGGCAGCTGAACTTTAAACTCACTCCCTAGTATTTAATTTGTGGAAGTGACAGCCCTCCAGGTGCAGAGCTGAACTCTTTGACCAAAGGGGGTGGAATCTGCGTCCCCCCCCCACTTGACCAGAGTGGCAAAATTTTTAGGGGCACTTCAAGATCCTTTGCAATACTGCAGCACTGAGTAGAATCCAAGTTATTCCCCAGAATCCTCTGATTCTTTCACTTAATGCCTTTGATCACACAAACACACAGCTGATTAGTAACTTTTCTATATCCAAGGCCTGCGGGGTTGTTTCTGTTTCTGGCAATTCTTCCTCTGTTTCTCAACTTCACAGGCTGAGTGTCAACACAAAGGCAGCCAAAATGGCAGAACCACAACCCCACACGTAGAAGGGAGGTGTCAGCATGTCTGGAGGAATTCTGGGTGTTTCATGGAATCACAGAATTGTAGAGTTGGAAGGGACCATAAGTGTCATCTAGTCCAACCTCCTGCAATGCAGAAATCTTTTGCCCAACATGGCAGTATAATATTTTAAAACCCAGAACAGGGTTAAATAAATCCAAAACTGCAGCAACAAAAATGAAAAGTGTACATGAGGTTGTTTGTCAGCATTCAGTTCTGGGTGCAGCCCCTCTGCTTGAGGAGGGATGTCTGAGAGCCCTTAGAGGTGTGGATTGGGCCAGCTGAGCCTTCAAAAGGTGCCCAGAGAAGGTAAGCCTCCCGGACTGAGAGGGACAATTGTGCCTGTGATCCAAGAGTTATTCCCCAGCATCCTTTGATCTTTTTCCTTAACACCTTTGATCACACGCAAACACACAGCTGCTTAGCAAGTTCTCCATACTAACAGGCTGCATGTTACCCCCAGTATATAATAATATACAAATCATTAAAATTTATTAGGAAGGTGCAGGATTAAAACGACCAGGCTCTATTGAGAAACAAGTAAAAAATGCAATTACACATCACCTGTGAACTACAGCAGGGATCAGCACCTGAGCCCCCAGGGCCAAATCTAACCCCTGAATACCTTTCCTAGTGGCAAGAAAGGGGTGCAGAAGGAGACATGCTGAGGAAATGGGCACCATTCTCCTCAAAGCAGCCCTCCAGTAAAACTAGCTGCTAAGACAGAACTTACGAAGCTTTCCCCCAATTTCTATTTGTGGCTGAATGTTAATAATTGTAGGATGGGGATCTCTGAAAGATTTGGGTCACCTCCAGGCAACCTGTTTACTGAGCATTCTTCCTGATTTGCTGGCACAAAGTCTGCAGATGGTGTCAGCTATTTCATGAGCATCCACTCATTTGTTTGCGAGGAGGTTATAAGACATTGCATCAAGGGGTTGTTACCCCACACTTTCCACTGCACTTTCACCTTCCTTACTGCAAAAGCTTCAATTTTGGGGAGGGCAGGTTTGTTGCACAAGAGCACCCAAATCAACTTTAATTGCACATCCTGAGCTTGCCAGTAAGCGCCTGAATCCTAGGTCAGTGCCCCTGGTTTCCAGAAGAGTGAGCGGTGCTGTCCACAAAGTACTGCCACAGCGACACATGATATGAGGCTGCAGCCTCACAAGTCTTTGTGGACTGATTTTTCCTGTGATTGCGGCTTGAAAAGTGGCTGCTCTGGTAGGTTTCAAAGTTTCCTGCCTTCGATGAGCTCTTTCTGAATCAACTTGTCTACTATGGGACCTTGCATCCTTCAGCATGGTACAGATTGTCTATTTCTATGCTTTTATAGTTTGAACTCCCCTAGTGAAAGAATCATAGAATTGTGAAGTTGGAAGGAACCCCAAGGGTCATCTAGTCCAACCCCCTGAAACACAGGAATCACAACTAAAGAACCCCTGATAGATGGCTATCCAACCTCTGCTTAAAAAACCTCCACCACCCTCTGAGGTGGTATGTTCTACCGTCAAATAGCTCTTACGGTCAGAATGTTCTTCCTAATGGGATAGAAATATTGAAAAATAAACATGCGAGGCACTGAACAGGCCTGTTGGGGCACACCTGTTGCCCTGTGTGGGTTGTGCATATGCTCTGGGAGCACACCTAACATGCCCCTGTGCCAACTGTACACAGAAGGGGGAAGATCAGCAAGATTGTGTCCCATTAGTGAACTTCTCATGGAAGAACCACCAAAAAAGTTTCCAAGGGAACCTGAGGCTCTCTGGAACGCAGCTTGGAAATCACTTGTCTAGGCTAATCTATTAACAGTGGCTGCAACTGCTGTCTTTTTTACAACCAAAGGATTCGGTTCTTGTCATTGTGCCATTCTTGCTGCAGCAAAGATGGAAATGTTTTAGTGTGCCTTCCCTCTCTTGCAGTTTCAAACAGCAAAAGACACAGAGATATGTGCAAAGCGTTCAGTGGCCGATTCCACCAAAGGGACCTTCCCTCAAAGAACTGAGCCCATTTATTGTTCGCTTCCACCCCTCCGTAAATGCCCCATGCAGCCTTATTGCTTTTTCATAAAACACTGCCTGCAAATAATCAAGCATGACCATTGACACCCGCAAGATTGAGTTTTTAGGAACCATTAAATGAGTTCGGCCTCTTGGGAAGGTTTGTTTCTCAGGTTGGCCTAAAGGTAATTATTCAGCTATTCCTACCTGTAGTTTTACCTTGTTCTCATCTAGCCTTTGAATCATGCACATGGGTAAGGTCACAATTTCTGGCTCCAGTAAAGAGAACAGCAGAAAACATTTGGGCCGGAGCGGAAGCAGTGATGGATAGATACATTCTGACACTTGACTCTCCTCTGTACGCACACATTTAACATCCGAGAGATGGAGGCATACATGGAACTCTGCATGGCACTCTCTCCCTCGCTTTGTTTCTTAAAAAGTTAATGCAGTTGTTGAAAACACACCGTAGAAATGTTGAAGTGGTGATTTTAAACGTAATAGTCAGAAATAAGCCAGGGGGCTTATTGCTATTTCTAATTTAATTGATCCAGAGTATTAGACAGTGATCTTGAGACCTGTTTTGCTGCTGTTCCTCTACTGGATCCCTTTTTTGTCAGCTTATCCATTTTTATCGTTTGCGAAACAACCTGAAATGCCTGCCAGAAGGAGTAGCAGCAAAGGATCAAGGCTACACAAAACAGCCCTCCGACATCAAGTCCAAGTCTACCAAGATGCGTATCTTGGCTCCTCAAGAGCCAGATCCTGGAACAGCAGAGACCAGCGCAGATGAGCATGGCTGCTGATTCTGATCAAGCAGACTTTGCCAACCTAAAGGTAAAGGGGATGTGGCGCTCATCTCGCTTTACTGGCCGAGGGAGCTGGCGTACAGCTTCCGGGTCATGTGGGTGGCATGACTAAGCCACTTCTGGCGAACCAGAGCAGTGCACGGAAATGCCGTTTACCTTCCCGGCAGAGCAATACCTATTTATCTACTTGCACTTTGACGTGTTTTTGAACTGCCAGGTTGGCAGGAGCAGGGACCGAGCAACAGGAGCTCACCCTGTCGCGGAGATTCAAACCGCCAACCTTCTGATCAAAGTCCTAGGCTCTGTGGTTTAACCCACAGCACCACCCACGTCCCTTACTTTGCCAACCTAGTGACCTCCAAAAGTTTTCAACTACAACTCTTCTCTGCCACAGCCAGCACAGGGGAAGGCTGACCTAGCTAAACTGGTCTGATGATGGGTTCCTAAAACACTCCAGAAGGTGGACCCTATGAATGGATGTGCCCCTACGCAAATGCCCCATTCCCAACCCTCAGACCACCCTCTGACCAGGCAGCCTCCATATGCCCATAACTTTAGTGCAGTAAAGAACCCAGTCTAAGTTGGGAAAAGTATCTTGCTATCCATGGGTTCAGGAAGAAACTTGCCATGCAGAAACAGCTGCAGACTGAAAGGGAGGGGAGTGACTCTGCTCCCCCCACCCGGCACCTACCCTGTGAATTTTAGGACTTTGCCAGCCCTTATTTGCTCTCATGAAGTTGCCACAGAGGGGAGCATTTGGCCCGAGATCATCAGTCTTAGAACACTAAACACTTCTAATAGCGAACACTCACGTTATCACGAATGCACTGAAAACAACAGCAGCTGTACCATACCAGAAAGCAAACAGACCTTCTCTCATGAGGTCCTTATTTAGAAAGAGACACACACATTAGCACAATAAGTGGGAACTATTATTCTCCCCCAACAGGGCTAGATCTTAAAAAGAGCCGAGGGAGGGGAGCAGGGAGAGAGAAACAAGGAGGGAAAACAAAACCAGGCTGCTATTAAGCCAATGTAGGAGGGGAAACCGTAGGGCACCCGCCAGGACCCTAAGGAGGAATGGAAATCAGCTCCATCGGAAGGCAGGGAGCCTAGAAACCAGCATGGCTTTCATTGCACCATTCTGCACAGAATGTAGCTTAGAATCAGGTGGCACTGCTTCCTTGGAACTTCTCTTTCTTTCTTTCTTTCTTTCTTTCAACAAAAAAAACAACAACTATACTAAGCTTATAGTCCTCATGGTGGTGGGTGGGAGAAGGGAAACTGAAACAGAAGCAGGACATTTGGCAAGATTTGTCTTTGAGGGTTGTATCTAAAGTTAGCCTTACTCTGAGCAGACCCTTTGAAATCAATGGACCTAAGTTAGTCATTTCCATCAATTTCAATGGGCATGATCTGAGTATGACTAACACTGGATACAACCCTTGAGTCAGGGAGAGCACATAAAATATAACTTAAGAATGGCCCCATGAGTGTCCACTTGTCTCTAAATATGTGGATTGGGAGCCTGATCACATGCAGACATCATCTACACAGTGCATGGTGGTTTAAGACACTATATTAGGGATAGGGAACCTGTGGCCCTCCAGATGTTGTTAGACTACAACTCCCATCATCTGTGACCATTGACCTGCTGGCTGGAGCTGCTGGGAGTTGGAAATCAACACCACCAGGGAAGGTCACATTCCCACATGGCATGTGGTTTGCTCTGAAATACAATTTTCCGTGTTTAGCCATCTCAACCTGTAATTTGGACATAATGGGCTTTCAGACACTTCCAAGGGTGTTATTTCTGTGCACACAAAGTCACATGTGGAGAGGCTGTTGCAGTTACATTCCACTTACACAACATGGCATCTGTTCACATGTGTGATCATAACTCAAAGACTGCCACACCAAGTTACGAGCATGCATGTCTGAATGGGCCAACACAGGCGTAAGACCTCAGGTAGAGCTTATGTATACCTTCAGTCACAATGAAGTCAGTACACAAACACAAACACACAGTGACCAAGTGTCCAGAAATCAACAGATGTGCATATCATACACATGCAAACATAAGTATGTATATGCATACGTTTGCCCTGATTTGCAAAAAAGGGATTTGCTACTTTTCAAGGCACCCATAAACCATCTCCATCCACATGCAGCCCAATTCCTTTCCTCCCAAGTTTCTGGTTCTGTCACATCAATTCCAGGCTCAGCCTGTTTCATCAGAAGTTGCTCTGGTAAGTGCAGTTCCCTGATAAAGCAGGGAAAGATTCTGGAAATCAACTTCTGGAACTAAGCAGATGGGCTGCCATTCCAGGCAAAAGTGTGCTAGATCTGCCCTGCTTCCTATGTGTAGGACTGAATTTCAACTGCTGTGGGTTAATTTCACTTACACTGTTGCTTCCTAAAATGATTAAGGGGTGAACAACTACCACCACCAGAGCGTAAGGAAGAATATTTTGTTAGCTCTGAAAGGGGAAATCTGGCAACTATGATCATCCCATCAGAAGTCAGGTCTCCCAAAGAAAATGGTGGTTAGCAGAGCAAGCACCTAAGTGTTGACAATGTGGATACATACAGTATATTAAAATCAAAGCACACACACAATCAAATCCAGGTTGATTTGCACAGAGATGCACAGAGGCAAAAATGAATGTCCTGTGTCTGGGGTAAAATGCAGTTTTCCAACTTCTTTTCTGAGAAACATACTAATGTGACAAAAAAGAGTGGGGTGGTGGGTGGACACAGATTAAATGTGGTGCATGTAAATGGCAGGAGCATTTGAACAAAAATGCACATTGTGCCCTTCCACGGCTGAATGGCCAGGCATGCAGAAATTTGGGCAACTGGAAATCCAGATAAACAAGAATACTGTTTCCTTAGGCCTGCACTAGTAGTCGGGGGGTGGGGATGGGGATACATGATGCCCTGACCCAGAGGCCCACATGTGCTTCAAGGTAAATATAAATCCTCCTGCATGTAGAGGATTCTCCACTAAATTCAATAGCTGGATCCCACCTGAGCCATGCCATGGACAACTCATGCATTTCACCCGCTGAAACACTCTGAGCAGGCCTTGTGGGTGGGGAGCTTCACGTAAGCACCAGAGTTTCTGCTCCTCTTGAGAAATCACTGGATCAGGACTAAATGGGTTCAGGTAGAGGTGTGAACAACAGGGCTCCTGCCGTTTTTGGTTTTTCTCCCTTTGACAAAACCGAACCGAGAGGTGACATTCAAAATGCTCTTGTTTACAGTTCAACCCTGACCCCTTTTAGCAGGTCCTCTTTTGCACACCCAGAGCTGCACAAAAGCCTGCCTCATTTAAAAGGCAAAACGACAACTTCCATTTCTTTGCATTACCACATCTGGCAAGGTGGAGAGGTGATCAATTAATATGGGGGGCCTTTGGGGGGTCTCTGTTATCCAAAAGAGAGAGAGGGAGAAAGAAAGAGACTTTCCTGGAAACCGCCTCCTTTTGCCAAGGATTCAATAGGAAGAGTCAGGAAACAGCACAAAGCAGGACAAGGCCAGCCAGCGCTCAGCAGCTCAGAGCCGCACAAGGCAACTTGTCTCGCAGTTGAGGACGTTGGGCCATTGTGCTTCATTAGGAAACAAAATATAAGCTTTCCAGTCCATTAGGAATGACTTTAGGAGTGAAAGCACATAAGACGGCGACTCACCTCATCAACAATGCACTGGAGTAACTGGAGGGGCTGTGATGGAAAGGAGAAGTGGGGGGAGAGAAAAGAGAAGTATTAGGCTATATGCAATATCTTTACAGTGGAGTGGAAAGAAAAAATCATTAATGCAATAAAATATAGCAAGATTAATCAACAGCAGCAAACTCTTATAAAAACATCGCGGCTCAGGATGTCCTATTATTTCTAATGGTACCTAATCTAATACAGGCAGTTAAAGGTTTGCATTTTCCACAAAATGCAATTTGCTAAGTTTAAAACAAGGCATTCAAGCATGCAAAGGAAGCAGCCATCAGGAAAAAGAAAAGTGAATTTTTTTCCCGAACTCATAAAGCTTACCATTAAAGATCCCTGGTTTTTCTGAATCTGAAAAGGAAAAAAAAGGGGAGGCAATATGTAATTAGCATGTCATAATCAAAATGACTCACTTGGACACATTATGATCACTGAGAGAAAATTATTGTATCGCTGGTGGCAATTTGTGGGCATGTGTTAACACAATTTACATAATGAAAATACACAAATGTTAATAGCTCGCTTCTCATTTATAGGCGAAAGTCAGCAGAATGTTAATTTCACACAACACTTTTTAGTACCCTCCAGGTTGTATTAGAATAGGGAGAAAAACCATAATCCATTTCAAAAGGCTGTTTACGATTCAGATATAAATAATGTTTTATATTGCTAGATTGTGAGCACTGCGCTTAATGTTGCAATCATTGCTAATGTTATGAAGCTCACTCTTTTTAAATTAAAAACCGATTTATTTAAAATTGAAATTAAATCATAGTCAGAAATTAGAATTTTGGATTACTGCCAATGTCTGCTCACAATCTTGCCCCCCCTCTTTTTTTTTTTTTTTTTTTTGAAGGAAACTTTAATTATGTGTCTGAACTATATGCCTGTTCTTAGAGAACAACAGTTTATGCTCCACTTTTTAGAATTTCTTCTGTGCCCCAAACCTCCCACAGCTACTTTCTGAACACCAGTTTTTGGGTTATAATTATCATTTAAGATCACCAGCTGGCCTGTCCCTCCCAAGACTGTAAAATCCACAGACTTAATCTGAGCATCTTGGGAACTGCAGCAAAAGGGCTACCAAACATTGTCAGAAGTGGCTCAAGGGCCACTGTTTAAGGCTCTTATGTTTAAGCTAAGGATGCCAACTGTATAGGTAGGGATGCTGCTGGTTACATCTCTGAAAGCTGGGTGACAAAACTGACCCCCTGACAATTCTACCATTATTAACTATGATTTTCCGTCAACTGTGTGGCTCCTTGCACATATCAACACAGGTCCCTTCCATTCTGCAAGATGCTTCTTTGCCTAAAACATCTTGGGTTCACTCACAGTTAACTTGGCCTGCCCTTTCCATTCAATATTCTCAGCTGAGTAGTGCCAGAGATGATGAATGGCTGTACTTCTCTCATTGGCTTCGAGAGCTCTCCTTCCTCCCTAGCTAGCCAGAGGCATTATCCTATAAATTAGGGATGGGGAGCCTGGGCCCTCCAGATGTTGCTGGACTCCAACTCCCATCAGCCCCAGCCAGCATGGCCAAAGGTCAGGGACAATGGGAGCTGTAGTCCAGCAACATCCAGTCCACATTCCCCATCCCGACTCGAAAAAATTGTTCACAAAAGTAGTAAAAGGTCACAGACATATACAACGCCCACAACAGTGTATGTATTTGCTTCTGGTTGTGCCATTATCAGGGTTCTCTTGTATCTTTCATCCTTATGGTTATTTCCAGCAAAGGAGAATGGAAACGTTCATAATTCTCTGTCTGGTGATAGGGAAAACCCCTTAGAAAATATACAGTGGTACCTCGCAAGACGAATGCCTCGCAAGACAAAAAACTCGCTAGACGAAAGGGTTTTTTGTTTTTTGAGTTGCTTTGCAAGACGATTTTCCCTATGGGCTTGCTTCGCAAGACGGAAACGTCTTGCAAGTTTGTTTCCTTTTTCTTAACACCGTTAATACAGTTGCGACTTGACTTTGAGGAGCAACTCATAGAACGCGGTGTGGTAGCCTTTTTTGAGGTTTTTAAAGACTTTGGTGATTTTTGAAGCTTTTCCAAAACTTTCCCGACACCGTGCTTCGCAAGACGAAAAAAATCGCAAGACGACAAAACTCGCGGAACGAATTAATTTCGTCTTGCGAGGCACCACTGTACAAGGAAACAATGTGCAACCTTGCACCAACCATACTGGTGGAACTTCATTTTATTTACCAGGATTTCTAACAAATAAGCCCAGCATTATTACGTCTGAACACCTAAACCATAAAAATAAAACACATACAGGTAATTTGGGACATCACCTATAAATATGGCCTGTTAAAAAAGTATCACCTGTGCATTAAACACATCAAAATAGATCTCCTCCAGTCATCTATAAGATTAAAATATCAGTTCTCTATACGTCCCTACACCTCCAGATACCACATAAAGCCAATTATAAACTCTCTTTTGGGGTACTTCAATGCCCCTAGGGTGCTGTTAGCATAAAGTACATTCTACAGCAGCAGCAAAAGATTTCATTTAATAGTAGAGGTTGATGGTAAAGAAACAACAATATTTATTACATTTTTATCCTGGCTTTCCTCCAAGGCATTCAAGGCACTGTATATAGTTCCCCACTCTCCATTTTACCTCCACAACAACCCTGTGAGGTAGGTTAGGCAGAGAGGTGACTGGCCCAAGGTTACCCAGTTAGCTTTATGGCTGAATGGGGATTTGAAGCTGGGTCTTCCCAGTCTTAATCTAATCACTACCCCATCATGGCAGGATAGGGCAGGAAGTTACCAGTGTTTTTGACATATACCTCCTTGCACGGGAATGTGCATCACATAAGTGCATGGGAGAACTTCCCGGGGTTCTGCACTTTATGAGCCATAATCCTGAGGAAGGTGAGCACTTTGCACTTGCCAGAAGTCACAGGGGAGAGTATACTGCTTCACTTCTCTTGAGCAGCAACACCTTCCGTGAGCCTGCAATCTGGTGCAGTTAACATCCCCATCTGTTTAAAACCGTGCCTTCAAAGAACCACACGTTCCTCTCTAAAGAGGGCAAAGTGTGTGCATGTTGTTCTGATCAGAGACAACATATGCATGGCATAGCCCACATCGAGGGGTGGGAAGGTGGGGGCAGAGTAAGCAACACAAACCGCAAGGGGAGCATGCTGTATCTATATTTATTTTAAGCTACATACCATTTAGAGCTATTATGATCCTGCATAACACAATATGCTGTTTACATTACAGGGGGCAAAATATCTGGCCGACAACCTGAATTGAATATTTACCAGTAAAATGACAGCTAATTGGGTTTATGAAGGAGGGCTTTCCTTCTTGCTGTAATGGGGAAGCCTTAATAGAAGTAGGGAACGAGATGGGATGAGGAGGAAGTAAGGGGGGGAGTGAAGGGAAACCACAGCTGTTCAGTCCTGTTGAACTATGGACTTGTCTGAAGCCAGGATGAGCTCAACTTGAGTCTACTGGCTTGATGAGCAGAACAGGGTGACAGGATTCTATTCGCAGGAAGCAGAGGAGGAGGTTGTGGGCATAAGATGCTAGGATTTATAAAGGACAGTTGACTAAAACCTTTGGGGAAAGACTCTATTATACAAATGTTCCAGAGAGGCAGCCAGGTTAGTCTCTTGCAGCAGAAACAACAAAGGGTATTGCAGCATCTTAAAAATGAAGAAAGGAAAAAAAGCTATGGTTTTCCCAGTAGTGATGTATGGAAGTGAGAGCTGGACCATAAAGAAGGCTGATCGCCGAAGAATTGATGCTTTTGAATTATGGTGCTGGAGGAGACTCTTGAGAGTCCCATGGACTGCAAGAAGATCAAACCTCTCCATTCTTAAGGAAATCAGCCCTGAGTGCTCACTGGAAGGACAGATCATGAAGCTGAGGCTCCAATACTTTGGCCACCTCATGAGAAGAGAAGACTCCCTGGAAAAGACCCTGATGTTGGGAAAGATTGAGGGCACAAGGAGAAGGGGACGACAGAGGACGAGATGGTTGGATAGTGTCTTCGAAGCTACCAGCATGTTTGACCAAACTGCGGGAGGCAGTGGAAGACAGAAGTGCCTGGCGTGCTCTGGTCCATGGGGTCACGAAGAGTCGGACACGACTAAACAACAACAAAAATGAAGAAATTTATTACGGCACAAACTTTTGTGGCACATTTCGCCAAATGTGCTTACTGAACCTTTATCTATGCCCTAATTATCACAGACTGTATTTTTTTATCTCATTGCCATTTATTTCCCACCTTGGAATTTTCTGCCAGCTAAGATTTCACTCCATGCACCTGACAGACTGCAAAAGCTTATGCCACAAGACATTTGTTAGTCTTTAAGGTGCCACAATACTCTTTGTTGTCATTGTTCAGCAAATGAAGAGAGGTTCTAGGTTCCAACTCCACATATCAGGGAGGATGAGATGTAGAATAAGCACCACAACCCTTGAAATACTAGATTCTATCCAGATGGCCTAAGCTACTCATGGCCGGGGAACTGGGGTATGTTAGGGATTGGCCAGCCAAGCTGCACCAAGTGACGTTGGCAAAACTTGTTGCCCACAATGGGAGAAGCCATTTCCATGCTCATACTACATGACATCACTATAAGTGACATTACAATACTAAAGCATAAGAAAAATCCCCCACTGTGCTCATCATTTGTAAATCTTCCTTATGTGTACATGTTGCATACATGGGAGTCCTAGAGAGATGATTCTCACTTTAGGGTGCAACAGATCTCAAAGTCAGTTCTGGATGAGCCCTGCCAGTGGAGGTGTCCATGTCTAAACCTCAGCAGTGGAATAAGTTGCTCTGAACAGTTGTGGAAGTCCCAGCTGTGGAGGTTTTAAGAAGGTTGAAAGGATCCCTTCTGCTGCAGAATATCCTCTTTTGGGCCATGAGATCTGATGATCCACAGTTCCTTCCTAGGGACTGACTCCATTAAGATGAATGATGAAAACAGCCTTCATGAGGCTAAGTGTCCAAGTAGTTTTGAGAAAGTGCTGCGGGTCACAAAATGGCTGCAGCCGAGGCATGGCACAACAAAATGGCCGCCACATTTGAAATATTGGGGAAAGAGACAGGGACACAAAATGGTGCAGGCATGCACCCCAATCATTCACTGCCTTACTTGATCGCAGAGAGGAGCTTTTTTCACCTCTCTGCTGTTTAGAAGTGGGAAGGGTATCCAATCCTGGTATCCAGTGAAATGTGGGCATGTTTAAGGAGACATGTTCAGTGTAGGAGATGTTGAGCCAGTGTAAACAGGAAATGAGCAGGAACAGCAAACATCTCTCATGCATTGTACATTTTGAGGGGAAATTTACTGAGACCTTTCACAGGTGCCATAGGATCTACTGCTGGCACACTGGTGCTTGTGGGGGCTGCATTGGTGGCTCTTGGTTTATGCATATTGCTACCATTGTACAAGTACCGCTATCAAGAAGCATGGATCAGTTGCCATGAGAAGGGCCTAACTGCCTCCATGGGAAAAGTGTAAATTGACCTAATTCCATGAACAATCTCAGCTGCTGGTCATGGAAGATTGTAAAATAGCGTGGGATTGTAAACAAAAACTGGGGGAAGCAATCCTTACAAATGCTCTTATTGCTACCACTAAGCACCAACGACATACATAGAACTCCTGGCTTTTTAATAACTTGACAGCTTTATATAAATACGAGAGAGTGAGGGAGGTGGGGGGGGGGTGGACCTCAGAAACTGCTGCTGAAGGAGACAAATGTTTTCTTGAGGGGGGACAATTACAGGTCTCCCATTTCAAAAGGTGCTTTGGAGGAACATGCAGCATGAACTATAACTCTGAAGCACCTTTTGAAATAGGACAGCTTGTAATTGTTGCCCCTGAAGAAGACATTTGTCGGAACATGTTGGGCAGGGCATTTGACCAATAAATTCTCCTTCAGGTTCTTTTTTTGTTGGTGCTGTCTTTTTGTGGTTGTTCTACTTTTAGCTTTACACTCATGTCATCCTTTTCAGCAGGAAGACACAGAGTACATGCTATTGCTCAACTGAGGTATTACAGTGCAATTTCAGAAATTCTGCATCAATATATCTGTGCCCATTAGCCAGTACTGATTCAAATTTCCTAAGACCTTCAGTTACTCTTTAATGCCACTACTGAGAATGACAGACAGCTATTTCACTGATGTCTTGATGCAATATCATTGTAACTTTAGTCTTTTCTCCATTAAATAGAGCTGCTCTGCTTTTTTGCCTCTGAAATACTATGAATACACTTTAAAAAGCTGTATGTTGTTTATGGTGATCGACCACTCCAGGTAATTTTGTTTGTACGGCTGTGTTTCCTCTTAATCTCTTAACTCTGCTAGAATATCTAAGTGCTACAGCTATATTTTTCCAAGACCCTCAATGGCAAGCTGCTCAAGCTGTACTTATATTAGACATATTTTTCACTGTAAAACAATGTTGTTTACAGTCCACAACACTGGCACATCTCTGGAAAGATAAAACAGCTGTATAGCTGAGACTGCTACCTTTGCACACAGTTCACGAAAAAGCAAAGAATATGATTTTATTACATACTGAAATAATTTTTTTTAAAGTCAATATAAAATGCTGCACAGTTTGAGCCCTCTCCCTCTGCTCCACACTACCACGGGACAAGTTGGTCTTGGAAGCTCTGATGGTCCAATCCTACTGCCCCACATGGCAAGATTTATTATGGAGGGGGATTTTACATGCCGTCTTCTCCAGAGGCTGTACCAGAAACTCTGCTAGAGCTTAATTTTCCTAGAAAGCTAAAGAGCTCCTAGCAGTGACTCACTGTGGCCTCCACTCTTTCTCATCTGCACTGCAGTGTCGTGCTGTGGTTAAGGGACTGAGCTGTGAACCTGGAAGACTTTGGTTCCAACCTCACCTGTACCACGAACTCACTTGGCTCACCATGCTCTCTGATGTTCAGCGTCCACCCCTGCAATATGGAGATACATCTTAGCACCCTACCTTACAATCATTACTTCAATACTGTACATGAAGTACTTGGAAAACTTTAAAGCTCTACAAGCTCAGTTGGTAGAGCGTGAGACTCTTAATCACAGGGTCCTGGGTTCAAGCCCCTCATTGGGCAAAAGTTTCCTGCATTGCAGGGGGTTGGACTCGTGTCCCCTTCAAATCTACAATTCTATGATTCTGTATATGCATACTACAAAATGATGCCAACAATTAATTAATTCTTTCCTGTTTGTAATGCTGGGGGACCAAATTTGGAAATGCAATTTGTATGTAAACATACAAAACAAGCAAAGAATAAAGTATAATATTCTATAAACTCCAAGGTACTGGCAAGCTAGGCAGGGTGCTCAGTAAAACCTATTTTCTGAATGTTCCTGTCTGGGGGGAGAATAGGTTACAGGGAATTTATGCCTTTGTTTTGAAAAGTTGCTTTTGAATAGTTCTGCCTCTATAGAGATATTTTCAACAGAAGTGACAAGGAAGACCTCTGCTACCTCCTTCTGCTTTATAGCCCATGCTCAAGCAAGAAACTCAGGTGAATGCCTCCTTCCATTAGTTGACACTTGCCACAGTTCCCATTTCCTCTTTATCTCCATCCCTGGCATTGGAGCCTTTGCTGGAGAAAGCCTCTTCTTATATTGACTAACAAATCTGCATTTTCCATAGCTATTTAGCTGTTCATGCTAGTAGAGTAATTAATAATAAATAATAATATTATTATTTATATCCCACCCATCTGACTGGGTTTCCCCAACCACTCAGGGTGGCTCCCATCAGAATAGTAAAAACTTAATGAAGCTTAACAAAAGAATGAAAAGACAGCAGCAAAAAGAGGTATCAGGAGAATCTAATTTTGAAAGAATCTGTTGCACCTTATTTTTTCCTCAAGATCTGAGCAATTTATGAATTCTAAAGATTAAACTGCCTTATATGTTAAAACATTCCATTTCCCTCTATAAATAATATTTGGGTCAAAGACAATACTAGTTTAATTCTTCATTCCAAAGAATTAAGCTCCCCATTTCTGTGTTTCCGGGATAGCATAGATGGAAGAAGATATTGCCGCACAACATTATTATTTGGTTTCAGTTGTAAAGTGGTCTAAAAGATGTGATCTATATTTAATTACTTAGCTAGTCTTCCACTGTCTCACAGAATGTGTATGTATGAAAGCAGATATCCATTGCCAAATAAAAAGTCAATATCCACAAGAATTATGTTTTTGGCACAAATATAAGATGTCTAATAAGAGCAGGAAAATCTATATGTGTATAGGATTTCTACAGCCATAGGATAATAATAGCAGCTGTCAAATCAACTTAAAGTTATCCCCCTGGAATATTAAAAAGCAAATAGCAGATTTCTTCCAATGTATTCTGCAAAGAGAACCATATACTATAAAGACTGAGAAATATTACATATAATAAAATATGATCTTAAAGATCTTTGATTATAATTCAGCACAGAAAACAGCACCACTTTGGTATTAACATGTGAACAGTGTTTAATGTCTTTTAAATGGTTCAATATTGTAATGTATGCTGATGACACCAGAGTTTCACTCTTATTCTGAAACCAACTGCTGCCGCTCATCAATTTAGTCTCACAAAATAAATGAATGCTTAAATGACACTTCTGTCAAATGAAAAAGAAAACCCTGCAAAACAGCTTTTCCATGCACTCAAGTTTAAAAAAAATCATGTTGTTGCTGTTTTTCCCCTCTCCTTCTTTGACAAGTGGCTCTTGCGTTGAAATGAAAACAGGCCAAACTTGGTCAATATTATGGATTACATATAAGAAAAAGAACCTTGGACCTTACTAATATCAAGGAGCAGAAAGCAACAGCTTCAATTAAAACCAGCCAATTATTCAGCCCTTTAAGATGCAGCAAATAAATGAATTGCTTTTAAATGGAAGTCCTTGGATGAAGAGCTCTTTGACCCACAATTCAATTGCACTAGCAGGAATCATAATGAAGGAGGAATTTGCTGAAACAAAATATTTTTTTCTCCCCTGGAAGGGGAAAAAAGGCTTTTGAATGAGTAACCGAGATGCATTTACAAATATTCTCCATTGCAACAGGGAGAGAAGGGCTAGATTATAAAGGGGGGTGGGTCACCTTGAGCTTTGTTTACAAATTACTTTTCCGCTGGCTGAATTCTTACCTCACCACATGCCTCCCTGTGGCTCCCTTTCATTTGGCTATTCCAGGCAGACTTACACCGCTATCTAGAAGCTGAGGGTGCAGAAGCCCTTCCCAAGAATATCAGAGCCTGCAGACTCCTCTCTGATAATCACAAGACTGTGCCCAACAATGCAGTGAGTGAGGAAGATGGCACTCTCTCTAGACACACTGGAGCACCTGTGGGGCTTGGTAGTGGGGCAAGAAATGCTGTGGCCCTCCTGGAGGGAGAAACACAGTTCATCAAGTTGATTCCCCCCTACTCTAAGTGCCTCTCATAAATGAAAGGCAACAACTCATGACATTTCATCCAAGAGACACCCTCAATGGCAACTGGGAAGAGAGAGGTGGCCAACAAGGATTGGACAGGCACTGCTGAACCAAAGGAAAGTTACGACTTTCCCACAAAGTTTTTGCTTCTTATCTTCTGCTGTATACTCTCATGCAGTGTGCACCTATTTATGACACGTCAAGGGTAAAAACTAAAACTAATATTTATATCCCTACCTTCTCTTTCCACAAAGCTGGGGATGCCTAAGGCAGCTAACCACTAAGGCAGTTAGCAATTTTAGGAATATTAATTAGTTAAGTCAAAATGATTCAAAGATAAATAAATACACAGCAAATATTGTGAGTTTCAAATGCCTTGAGGTTTGCTGACCTTAGCAAAATGATGCCACAGAGTGACAGTGTAATACAGTAAGTCCACAACTTATGCAGAGGTTGCGTTCTGGGGATCACACCTAAAGCCAAAATTGTGTCTAGTCGAAACCCGTTGTGTTCAAAACCCGTTGTGCCAAAGTCATTTTCCTGGAACCCCGCCCCCTTTCTGCCCCTTAAAAAATATTTTTTTTTGCCCCTTCATAAAGCTGATTGTGCACAAGTTAAATGTGCAGAAGTGGTGGGCTTGCTTGTATACAAAATTAGGCAAAAACAGTTGCCCCAATCCAGTGACTGTCCATGTATAGAGGACAGAATACTAAACTCATTAGGAAGGGCTGCTACCTAACTGCATCCTTCTGTGAATATTTTGTGCGTGTCTAGAGATGCTCTCACCTCTGAACAGCTTTGCCGAAACACCAGAACCCATATGGGGTCCTGGATCAGGGTAACTCATGAGAACTGATCCAATGCAGGATTTCTACCTCACCCCACCCCCATTAATAATGTTTTGGACTGCTGCCTTCCTTTATAAAATCAACCCAAAAGAAGAGCATGTTCAATCTTGCTCTTTAACATTCTCTATTATTCACTTTTGTTTCCATCGCGCTGGGTGCCTCTACCCGGAGAGAAGCAATATGTCATCATTTTGTTGAGCTAACTGGCCTAACAGTCTTGTCCCTTTGAGTTAGGAACAAGACAGCAACACTTCATCAAACCGTTGGCAAAAGCCAGGCAGGAAAGGGCTGGCAGAAGAAATGGGAAGCAGCCAAGTTTTCAAATCTGGTGACTTGATTAGCCATTATAGAAAAGGGAAAAAACATGTTGGCCCCCAAAGTTGTCCCCTTTTGAACAGAAAGCTCCCACTAAATATCACCTCCATCAGTCTCACCGTTGCAGTTTTGTAATAACCCGTTTCAGCGCTTGCTAGGTGAACATTTGTTGAAAAGGCATCTTCGCCACTTGCCACTACTGCCTCCTCTTTTTGGGGTTTCCTCTCCCCCTCCCCTCCCCTCCCCTCCTTATCATACTCCTTATTTGAAACAGATTTTTAACAGATAATCTTGCTCGTTATAACAATATCTCGCTTGCATTTTATTCAAATAATTCTTAAAAACAGCTTTAAAAGCCGTTTGGAATAAACATCAAGCTCACCATCAATCAAAGGCAAAAAAAATTTCTGCTGGCGGTTGTATAAACATCAGATCAACTCACTGATGTCTTCAAGGATTTCAGACTGAACCATAAAAAACTCCATTAACTTCTGACAAAGAATGCAAATTAATCGCAACATGGGGTGAGATGAAATTAAAGGCTCTTTTCTAATCAATGACAAGGCAGGATGAAATATTTACTCCTCTCTCTCTCCTCCCTCCCTCCCTCCCACCTCCAACGCTTGCCTGTGTTCAGGGTTGCATTCCTCAAGCCAAGCCCAAGCAGAAGGTGAGTGCACAAACTTGGCCACATCAAGAACTGCTTAGATCCTCTCAGCCCTAAAGTAATCTGCTTGCAAGTTGCACAGATTCAACACGCATGCGTGTGCACACACACACACACTCCAAATCTCAGGTGCGCCCAATTTGTTATTCACACTCTCCTGTGCCAGTGAAAAGGGGTGGGGGTGGGGGGAGAGGAGAAAGAAGGCTGGCACAGACAGATGCACCAGGAACCTGAAATGACAGTTCTGCCCTCCGGAAGCACGATCACTACAGAAAAATCTAGTACAGCCTCCAGGTGAAATGTCTGGTGCTCCATATGGAGCAGAGAAAATTAACAACAAGATGGAAATCTCACAAGCAGCAGGGAGCTGGATTTTTTTGAGGGGGGAGGGGGGAAATGAAATTTAAAGATGAAGAAGGAGAAGTAATAAATTAATGGGGTGTGAAAACATTCAAAGCTTTACAATACCAGGGGCACTATTTGCTCAGATTTTATTTTTTTTTTAGAATAGGAGGGGGGGAGCACCCCCCTTCCAAACTTCAAGTCATTTTGATGTAATTTATTAACAAAGATCTGCAAGTGTATCCAAAAATAGGTAAAAGGGGTTTTAGCCAGATTCAGGAGGACTAGTTTAAATACATTTCTCAGAATCCTTCAGTTTTCAAGTGTTGCCTTAGAACACTTTTGCAATGGACTTCTCCTTGCTGCCCCTAACTTGGAACACGAGCAGTGACTACTTGACAGTGGCAACTGCCTGCATTTCTCTGCATTTTTGTACTGTTAAGCATGCCTCTGCCTTCTGTTTAAATCAGGGCAAGCTGAATATCTGGAAGAAGAAACTGTACTGCACTGTATTTCAGTTCGACAATTCTTTCCACACAGAATCAGAAAATGCCTCCAAATCAGCATTAAGGTATTTAGAACTTTTTAAAGACTCACAGATATACACAAACATACATCTAAATGCAGTTGTTGTTGGTTTTTTGGGGGACGACGACTAACTTGGAAGAAAGTATTTTGGTTTAATATTTGAAATCACAGAAAAAGTCATTTATTGTCATGGAGTGTTGGCTTAAAGTCATGAACTTCACCCCAGTTTTTGTAGATATTTATACATACATCAAGATAAGAACATTCCTTTAAATTATTTCTTTTGATAGAAAATACCTCAGGCTTTGAAAAGGATTTCATGTTTCTAAGAGATTGTACTCTATAGCTTCTTAGAGATTTCTGCCCCCTAAACAGCAAATAAGTGGTTTTCATCACAATAGTAAGTTAATAAAAACATTAAGTGAATCAAGAATTTGCTGGATTGATCAAACCCGAGAGTTTGTTTGTGTAAACACCTGGTAACAGCAGTGGCTGGTCTAATTATCACAATATTTAAATGTTTTCTCTGCAAATTGACACATTTGCAAGTGAACTGCAAATGAAAAACACAAATAACATTCACCATTCATCAAAACCAAAGTCCTGAAAGCACTTACAAGCTTCTCATGTGACTTGCATAAGCAGTTGTTTCGCATCTATAAGAATATTGTACATAAGATAAAAAATACTCAGTAGGAAACACACACTAGGAAACTTTTTTTTTTTTTTTGCAAGTCCCCTGTTGAAACCAGCAGGAGCTGTTCCACATTTCGCACAGGCTGTTATGCCTCCAGGTGTTTTGCTTTCAGTGAAGGAAGACAAGATTCCCAATTTACAACGTCCATACTGATCCCAAAATGCCTCTCAGTCCTCCTGCCCCAATCTGGGAGGAACTGAGAAGGCAACACATACACACAATGCAACAAAATATAGCAGAAGGATATATGGCCTGAAAGCATGATGGCCTGAAAAAATGGTGACAAGGAATGGCTGACCTTATAGATAACCCATAGTGGAATTTCTGCAAAGTCAGGAATTTAAGCAGGGATGACCAGCATTACTGGTCTGGGGGGCCAATTCTGCTTCTTTGAGTGAAATGTTTCAGTGGCTTACACTAACCCAGAAGGCAGAATTCAAATGATTTGAAGGCAATCTTGGGAGTCAGAAATATATGCTGATATGTTGAAACAACTATGTTGTTTGTCAGAGGGGGTTAACTTAGGGATTACTTATAATGACTATCAAAATGCATTAGTGGAAGGGTGAAACGGGCAAATATGTTCCATGCTTCCTCCATGATCAACTGATTTTCGTACGTTTTCATGTTAACCACTTTTTGCTATGCACCTGCAACAAATACACTTCTGAACATTCATTCCTTCCCCACAGCTGTTTCTACATATATATTTATTTCTGGAGACTATTTCTGAGATAGCTGCGCATCTAGCTGACATAATGTGCACAGCAACTTGCTTTCCCCTGGCACCCTCCCTGCGAATTGCTGCACCATGGGCTGGGTTTGGGTCCACAGGATCATACTTCATGTTGCTATGGTTAGGCGAGATATAGCTTTGCTGCATGATTTGCTCCAGGATCAGACCACCACCTGTTTAAATATTTCTCGGCCACCACCAGTTTAAGAAGAAGAACAGATGGTGCATCTGCTGACTCTTTTAAAGTCCATAAAATGGTTAAGAAGAAGTTGTTGGTTTTTTTTTAAAAAAAAAGTAAATAAGTGCTCCTAAACACAAGGAAAAGACAAAATCTCTTTCTATTATTCAATAACCACGGTGGTGAGGCATCTGCATAATCTAACCATGCATAAATTAGAATGTGTTATTTGCATAATAATAGCAAGTTAATAGATGCTTAAAGAGCACAGACCAACACCAGCTTTAAATCAGACATGCCTCCAGGCACTTTGGCCTGTATCAACCAAGACTTTAGGAAAAATGGGTACAATCCACCAGGGAATGGGTCCTGCACGTGGATCACTAAAATGACTCAGAGCTGTGTAAGAGATCCCAACTGATTGCACACAGCCCCCATCCATTTTGATGCAGAATATACAGGTGATGTTGTGGGTGATTTCTACCCAATGTCCATGAAACAAAAAAGCCAAAATAAATAAATAATTAAAAATGAGGAAGAACACTCCAAATAACTCATATTGCTGCATGGGCATAATTCTTCAAGGACAAGGACATAATCCTTCAACACTTTTCCAGCAAGAATAACAGCAGGTCTTCCTCCCACCCCTTGAACTCCTGTCATCCATTTGTCATGACAGGTATTTGCAAAGAAATACAGCCAGAAAGGGACAGCTGACTAGCGTACTGGAGACTTTCTCTTCTCCTTTTGATATTTTTATAGAGTATATTCAACAAGCGTATACGCTATCGGGGGGGGGGGGAGCAGCGGGTCACAGCTTCTCAAACAGCAGTGCCTTAACAATAGTTTCCAGGGAAGTCTAAGGATATTTCCTGCCTGAGTTCAGGTGTCGTATTATTGGTTTTGACTCAAGTTAAGATAATAGAATTGTAGAGTTAGAAGGGAGGGACCCCGAGGGTCTTCTAGTCCAAGACAAGAGAGGAGATCTTGGTTTGGGGACATAAGAAAGTAGCAGGGTGGTAGGTTCTACCATTTAGTAAGCAACCAAGGCCTGGTTCTCGTTGAAGTGGAAAATCTGAATACTCTTCTATCCAAAAAATTTCCTCCACATTAAGCAAACAAACCTACATGGAAAGACTAGACCCTTTGTCTTCAACATCTCCCAGACATGCTGCTTTCTATGTAAACTGAACAGAAGAGCAGCCCCCCCCCCATGTCTGTAGTCTGATATGGTTCAGGACTGACATAGTTTTACCACCCCAATGAGAACAAGGCCCCAGATGTATTGGCAGGTCAAAAAAGGGTAGGTTCACCAGATTTTTCCAGCACCAAGTGAAAACTTTTTAGACACTCCATGTTGGACATACACAGAGTCATGAATGGCTCAACACATATTGAATCATAGTATCACCAAAGCTCTTTTAAACAAATCAACTTCTGAACAAGGGTTAGTCAGCAACACGCTGATGGGTTGAATGCTTCAGAAATACACATAGCATGTAGGTATTTGCATTATACTCATACAACATTGCACATCAATAGTCAGATGAGCCCTAGGCACAGGTCTTATGATCTATGTGGAGAAGAGCTCCTTTTTCACATCACTTTGTGACTGCTAAGACATCACCTTTTTTTCACTTGCGGCACAGGCAGCAATATGATCGCTCTGCTTATTTATCTTATTAGATGTCTTATCAGCCCTTCACCACAAGGTCCTAGAGTGGGTCACCACAATAAAATACACAATAATAAAACTAATATATAACATAATGAATGTAATAATATAATACAATAAAATATAACAGTTACAAGTATAAAACAAGGAATGTGTAAAACCTATTGAAACCAGTTCCAATGCAGATGCAGATGCGGACTCGAGTGAAGACTGCCACTTAAAAAGAAGTTTACACTGAATTTTTTTCTCACATGAATTGCTAACGTGCAGGAACATCTCCACTACCTAAATATCAGAAGGCAATATGACCAGGAGTCTGGCTCTCAGTCACTAGCCTACCTGGACAGTGGCCATTAGCCTAGTTGTTGGGGTTCATCTGGCATCAGTAATTGCCATAGACAATTGCTGGGATTAGTATTGCATTAGCAGCAGTATCCCTTTCCCAACAGCATGTTGCAATTTACTTAAAATAAACTCATACTTTTAAAGATCCCAGCTTCAGTCAACACTTCCCCCACCCTGTATCAAGTCAGTTTAACCACAGACACCCCACATCTCTCTCCCCCCCCATTAAGATTTGCATTTAAAAGTTCTAATCATTCTGTCCAAACAACTGGAGTGATGCAAGGCTTTATACCCCCCACTCCACAACACATTGCTGAACTCATTTAATAGCCTCAAATATGTCAAATAAACCTGGAGTTTAAAAACAGAATGAGATCAATGGCAGTTTTGGACAATTCTGCAGATATTACTGTTAGATTTAACAGGGCAGATTTATATGAACCTGGTTGCAAGGCTCACAATTGCTCTCTGCAACTTCATACATAGGAATGAACGCCACAGTGGCAGTCAGTGATAATGAACATTCTTACCTGAGGATACGGGAACCTCCCGAGAGCAAGCTGGGAAAGGAAATAATATTTGTCTAGTTAGAGAGATTTGCATTAGGGGTTGAGGAAAAGGAGGGGGGGAAGAGAGAGGAAGAAGAGGGGGAGAATAACTAAAAAAATCAGTACAGCATTGCATGTAAAATGGACAGAGATAGAACGAGGAGACGCTGAAGCAAAAATAACCTCTAAACATGGAGAACAGCTATATTTAGAACAGACAATCACACAGAAGAAGAGGTCTGTTAATACATCTGGCGGCCTACCCACCCACCAACCCTGCCCACCTCTGATACCCCCAATCCTAATTCAATGTATTTGGATGAAGAGAGAAAACAGTGTGAAGTGAATAGTATGGAGAAAGCACCCAAGACGCCAGAGTATGGACACTGGTCATATTCTCACAATACATTGAAACATCATTGTCCCACTTTAACAGCCATGGCTCCCACCCCCCACTCAAAATGAATGATTCCTGTGCACTATAGTTTGTTAAGGGTGCTGGGAATTGTAGCTGTGAGTGGGGGCTCTCCTAACAATTCTCAGTAATGCTAACAAACTGGGCCTCCCAGGATTCTTTGGGGGGAAGTCATGACTGTTAAAGTGGGACAATAATGCTTTAAATGTATCGTGTTGATGTGAAGAGTGTCAAGAGCGGAAGCTGTAACTGAGGCCCTTTCTGGTTTTGAAGTGCAACCCTCATGAGACCACAGCATCGTGTTCCACGTTAACCAACAAGGAAGGAGCACCTGCCTTTGGGTCTCTGCCCACTGTAGGTAACATGGATTAAAATCTTCACGTCATTCATAAGCCACGGGGAAGAGTTTGTCGTTCCACCATGGCTCTAAGGATTGAAGGGCCCTTAAATGGTGTCAAAGGGTACCAAATCCAAGAGAAGTGATTGCTCCCTCCCTGTGGGCCACTCAGGCACAGCCCAGTTCTGTGGGGCTCTGAGTCTTTTCGGTCCTTTCAGAGGCCATACGCTGTCACTCCAAAAAGGATGCACAAGGCCCAGAGCAGCTCATACAGCTCCTCCGCCCAGGCCTCACCATTCCAAGCCAGGGTGGTTTTGACTCCTCATTTTTCACAACAAAATACTTCACTGATGCTCTTCCACAGATGCTCACTGGGTTTGTGTAGAGTAGCAGTTAGGGTGTTGGATGTGGGAAAGCACATACAGTCCATTAGATGGCTTTGGCAAAACCACTCTTTTTCTAGATTGCCTTAAAGCAGGGGTGTCAAACTCAAATTTATCGGGGGCCGCATCAGCAGTTTGGCGCCGCTAGAGGGCAGATGTTCTCTGGCTTGTAGGCTGCCGCGCATGCGCTGAAGAGGCGGCTTTCTTGTGTAAAAAAAAAAAGAAAGCAAGAATAAAAGGTGAAGGCTGGCGGCCGGTGGCGGCTACACGGGCCACATGACGAGGTCTGGCGGGCCGGATTCGGCCCGCGGGCCTTGTGTTTGACACCCGTGCCTTAAAGGGTTGTTTTAAAAGAGGAAGCATACTACGTTGCAGTCTGCACTAATCCTTTGGATACACGGCGAGTAAGAATTCAAAACCATCACCCTCATAAAAATTATATTTTTGGTCTAAAACTTGCTTGCCAGAAGAGTGAACATGCCTGCACACAAAATGCAGTTCAACATCCAGCACAACAGCAAGACCCTTATATGTTATGCAAATTAATACAAAAGAGGCATGCTTATACAAATTAAGCACATTTATGCAAATATAATTTATTTTGAATACAGAATTGGGTTTCATCAGTATAGAAATTGTTATTTTTGCATATAGAATGCAAACAAGTCTTGACTATAATTTATTTATTTTAAACACAAGCCCCTCTGTTGGGATTTGCTTCAACTGTGAAGAGGGAGCAGCACCCAAGCAGCAAGAAACCCAATTCAAGAACCATTGTTCTACTGGGCTAAGCAGAGTCCTCCCCCTCTCCAAGATTGTCAAGGTATTATAAATTAAGAAACTCACAAAAGAGCCTGTAATCTTCCCCGAAATAGCCTGCAGATATGTCACTGTACTAAATGTGTTTCAGATTTAATGAAGCTTTAATGTCCTTTTTAATTTTGCCTGTTTCAGTATCACCAGGGGTCGAGCAAGGCAATCAGCACTCAAGAGGATGGTTTGGTTTAAAACTAGGAAAAAACTCATTTGCTTATGAGTTGCACTGTATTTTCTTAATTAAATTTACTGAGTAAAATGGTTTTAAGTTCAACCAACCAATGACCTCTGTATGTAGATTTAGATTTATAAATAGGCCAACAGCTAAAGCATAGAAGCCAAAAAACACACAAAACAAAACCCAACCATGAAAACAAACAGATTAGGGCTTTGCCAACAGGAGAATTGCCTCCATACAACAGAAGCCATTTGAACATAAAATGATATATAATCCCGAGAGGAAAATTGAAAAGATAAAAGCACACAACTTAAGACAGTCAATCAGAAAAGTCAACCCGTTCCATCGCAGTTTTGGGAACATATTCCCATTAGCCCTCTTAGCTTTTGAATCCTCCCGGCTTGACAAGTTAATAGATCGGTGCCTCAACACAGTGGAACCCTCCTTATTTGAATCTCGATTATCCAACACGCTTGCTTATTTAAATTCATCGCCTACTACATTTTCATCCAAAATGTCACTTCTGAACACACTGGCTTCCCATAGCTCCTCCTTGCAGCAGCCACATGCTCAAGATGGCCCTATGAAGAGGTCTAGACTGCACATTCTGTGGATTATGCAGAAAAGTAAAGGACACATTTGACAAAATGCCAAGCATTCCCTGCAGAGGACAAACAAAACAAAACCAAGCCCTGCCTTAGTAATTTTATTCCTGAAATGCAAGACCCCTGAGCATGCTGAGCTGAGACAAATCTTGGAGTTATGGAAAGCGGGCAGTGACCAAGTGAGCTCTGTAGATGCAAGTACATTTCTAACAGCCCTGAAACATATGCAACAGGTAGGAGATTAAATTTTGCCATCCTCAAGCTGCTACACCACAGTATCTGATCCACTGCAACGTCACAGTGGCTCTGAGGTACCACTCCTGTGCAGTTCCAGCATGCTCTCCAACGTACCAGAAGATCCACCTCTTAACAATATGATCAGCTTCCTTGTCACCCCCATCACCCAAATATGACCACCCCTAAGCCATCTCTTATGCTGCTGGGGCTGCCCTGCCCATCTTGCAAAGGAGCTATGCTCACTATGCCCCAGATTCAACCACTTGCACTCGCTGATGGGTGGCAGGGCCGGAAAACATCTCTCTCAACCTAACTCCTTGGAGAGCCAACACCAGTGGGAATAGACAGCACTGGGCTGATTCTGTATAAGGCAGCTTCTAAGATTCAAATGCATCTCTAAATCAGGGCATGACGCCTCAGTGACTTGCTAGGAGAACTGAATGAGAAAGATAAGTGTGAAGTTGTTTGTTATGTCCATGATTAAGAATAGTGAAAGGAGCTTTAACATTCACAGAATAGTATAAACCAAGGATGGGGCACCTGTCCCCCCCGCCAGCCCAGTAGCTGTTGGACTCCAACCCTCATCAGTCCCAGGCAACATCACCAATGGTCACAGATGATGGGACTGTAGTCCAACAACAGATGGAAGGCCACAGTTTCCACACCCCTGGTATAATAGGTACCTCATGCTGCTCTTCAGTGGTGACTTCCTATTTACACAAACCCTGGTGAGGTGTATCTGTCTCCATCAGTACTGAATTTTACAAAGAACTTGAAAACATTCTTCTTTACCCAGGCATGTGATGTCTGAAGGATACTGTTCCTGGCAACCCTGAGATCACTGGATGAGATCATGTTTTTAACTGGTTTTTGACTGTTTTAACTGTAACTGCTTTTAGAATGCTTTTTTTTTTTAATAAAAAAATTGCTGTGGATTTCTTCAGGAGGGGTCAAATCAGAATACACATCTTTCCATCCTACCATGAAACTTTCAACATACCTTCAGTTATAGCGACCTTCCAAGGTGCATTCGGCTGCTGGGGGAAGGCACAGACTGAGGGGCACTTAGAGGAACACATGCAACAGCAGTTCAGTGTTAGAGAACACATTTTGCATTTCACGAAGAGCTAAGTTCAATCTCCAGCATCCTAGGGAAGCCTCAGCTTGACACTCTGGAGAGGTGTGGCTGGCGGAGGAGACAATGCTGAACTGGATGGACCAATGATCTGATGCAATATAAGGCAGCTTCATACATTCATATACAAGCAAGCCGGCCGTCAACGTTTTTCCAGAGGTCTGGGAGCCTCACCTGCCTCTTGTCTACTGGCAGCAAGAGGTACCCCAAGGTGGTCTTGTTGCAATTCCACCTTTGACTAGTTCTGGGTGGCAATGTACTCATTAAATCCCAGCTTAACATCCCTCAAATGGCGAGTTCAAGATCCACTGCAGGCTTGAGTCCTGACACTAATGTAAGCAGAAAGCCACGGAGGCAAGGGCATGCTGAATATTGTTTTTAAGGACAATGATGCTATAAAGTCTCCTGCCCACCCTTCTTTAAATTACTCTGTGCGACTTGCAAGTTTGTTTGGCTTTTTAATTTACAGTTATACTGAAGAGCACAGGATGGCTTTATTTAGTTGCATTCCATGTTTCTCAGCATAACTGCAAATTGAAAATAAGCACTTACGATACTGCTTGTGATCGAGCTAAAGAAGAACTTTATAGTCTGAAATGTTCTAAAATTTGTTCTTAATTACTTTGTGCACATTTTACACAATTAAATTTCCATCTCAAGATTTTGCATTTAGATTGTGCACTGCAGTTAAACCCTCAATTTAGAGGAAAGCAGCCGACAGTTTGGAACATTCAGACATTGGAAACTTTTTTAAAAAAACAACAACAGACCAAACAAACCCAGACATAACAACTGGCTTACCTGAAACTCACATGGTAAGATTTCATTTCCGAGACCAATTTGTAGATTTCTAGATTCAAGGTTTAAAATCGCCTTAACATTCTACTGACAAAGACCCTGATAAAT